TTGAATGAGATGGACTGCAGCACGTAATCTACCAGACTGAATTTCCACTTAAGATGCATCTCTGTTTTAAAATGTCAATAATCGAGATTGAGAAAAGTTGAGCTTGTGATTTTTCCATTTTTGGCAGAGCTCTACTTTACCCCCAAGCTTTACTTCACAAAGGCCCTTTGTCATTTTTCAAACTTCAAATGGCCCCCGTGAATAACTGCTATGACACATATGATAATAGCCACATTCCTCAGGTACACACAGTAAACATATCCATCTTGGTGGAAACTGGCGACATACACACATTCATAACAGGATGTTTATCCTTTTGGAAACATTTATTTTCCCTGAACACTTCAGGATTTCTTTCCAAGGAGGAAAAGTGCATATTTTTGCTTGATGAGGGAAAGCAGAGACCCCAATAGACCTCTTGCAGTACAAGTATTTTTCCTTGTGGATCAATACAAAATAAGTGTAAGTCAAAACATCATGCAAGATGGAAACAAAAAGAGCTGCACTAATTTGGCAAATTATCCAAGTTTTGTCAAACGTTGTCAGAAACGTTTTGGTTCGTACCGCTGATTGAAAACAAACGCAATATGATCTGGGACAGAATTAAAAATGACCCAATACAAAAGTCCTCCTGAGTATTTCTGGACATGTTTGAAGAAGAAGAATGCAGTAGCCCCAACTGAGCAGCCTAAATTAAATAGATGCGCCCCATCTGTGACTTCATGTATATTGTTTGCGTGCTTTCTGCCTCGTGCCAGATTGTCATGTTTCCTCGTGTTCCTGCATCTTGCCTATTGCTTTGCAATTTTTGCCTTGCCATTAGAATTTTTTTTTTACTTTGGGCCTGTTTTTGAGCCACTTTTGTACAACCATGACAACATCTGTTAATGTTCTGCTTTAAAAAGTAGTGATAACTAGGGCCAGAGTTTATTTTTACCAAAGTATCCTTACCTTTCCTAGGGGAAGATGTTATTTTGACAAAAGGAAGGAAAAGATTTCTTTACATATGTTCAAATAGGTTGGGGGCCACTAAAAATAGTCGCGGGCCCCACTTGGGTGCTGCTGCTTTATCAACATGAACCATGACAGTGGTTCTCAACCTTGTAATGTCACCTCAATTGAAATGAGTGGATCTCTGCTCCTTGTGAGCCCGCCTCACCTGCACAGTGATAGTGACGTAGCCTCACACTGACTTTGTTGGAAACACATGGCTTTCGGCGGCACAGATTGGCACATCAGACCCACTGGAGAATATACTTTTTGTAACAAAGGCGATCCCTCATATAAGGCTCTATGATCTAGAATCAGAATCCTAATTTTTTAGTTAACAGTAATACAGCATATGGCGAGTTTGTAGTTCTCTACCTAGTTTCAAGAATGGCCTTTGAGTCCAGTTTCATGGCACCTGTCGTTCTGGAGGCAGTCTTTGATGAAGTGTTGCTCGCAGATAAAGAGATATCTCGTGGAGACAGATCCTGTGAATAAAGTCTAGAAAAATTTCTGCTTCGTTGAGAGAGAGGCATGTACTTTATTATTTCACATTGCTTCGTCTTTGGAGAAGCCAAATAGTGTCTTCACATAAATACACCTGAAAAACAGATGTTCGCCAAGTCCCATGATGTTAACACATAGTCGGCGACAGGAGCAGTAAAAGCAACAGAGCTTGATGTGACACGAACAAACAGGACACAGAGAACAACCATGACGTCTGAAAAACACTGCGAGCAGTACGCAGTGCACCCTGAATAAACAAACTTCTGGCCCAAATGAACTGTCAATTAAACACAAAAAATAAACACTTGAGATTGGCTAATCTGTCTGTCAATCAACTCAAAGCAGAAGAGGGCCGTCCTTCCTCACACTAATGATGTATGAGATAGTGTAGCACATAGACATATAAAGATCTTTATCTTTATATGTTATGGTGCACCATGCCAGTTTTGAAAATCATTTTCAAATACCACCTGTAATATCCCCACATACCCATAGGGGTCTATGTACCCTCAGTTGGGAAACAATGGTCTATAACACTGGCAACACATAGGTGTATTTGGACCTGTTTAAACCAACACCATTTTGTCTCCATTTTGATTCAACTGTAAGTATTCACAATTTGAAAATATCTGTTAATCAATATTACCTCATACCTCCGCACTCATTCAATATCTGGCTTTGTGATTCTAACTTGATTGATTGTTATGGTTTAGAGCAGGACAAACAAAAGCAGCAGGTTGACCCCCTGCTCTTTAGCCCTGAGTAAAACAACACAAATACAGTATGTATGAATATTTACCACAACCAGTGACAAGCAAAAACAGTACAGCTGGATGTTACTGCACTTGGAAGAATAAACAGTTCTTAACAACGTCAGAAATTGTGGATTGAGGAGTGATTTTCAACATGAACATTTCTCAAGAATAAATACAACGGTCCCAGAGGAAGAGACTGCTTAAAATAACTGCTCTAATATACACACATTCACGTTAGAATCTATGAACAGTCAATTATTCGGCCTGAGGTGCTCGATTTCTAGCATTTTCCACAAACTATTATTTTATTCTATATCTATATGTGTGCGTAAAATGTTTTCCTGACACAGTGTGTGTGTGTGTGACAAAAACCCGATTGTATAAAATATATTCATATTTGCAAATGGCAAAGAATCCAATTAAGATTATTATTATAGCTAAGAGTATTTAAACTTTAAGGAAGGTGTCGCTTTGTTTTGAATTCAGATCCAGCTACCATGAGAAATAAGCTTCAAATTTAATTTGTATTATATTGTTTTGTTTATGTGTCAAAAATGTATACCTACAAATAAAAAATAAACATTAGTGAGAAGCCAGGGCGCTGTATAGAAAGTGTCCTGAATGCACAAAACATTTGACATCTCCCACAGAGAGGGATCCGAAAACAGATGCTTCAGCCACATCAACGGGCACTTCTGAACATTGTAAAGTGCTTTGGGTGACCTTGGTCTGAAAAATGTGAAGGAGCAGCAGCTCTACACTAAGCTTCTCATCTGATCCCTAAATGAGCACACAGCCACTCTGCGGCAGAAACTCAACTCGCATAAATTGAGAGCTCTGACTACAGACACTTCTCCCTCTTCATCACAACACTCCAATATAGTGAATACTTTTGATAGTTGATCATGCAATTTTGAGATATTACACACAAATACGAATGAAAACTGTTCTGACAGTGGCTCAGTTGGTAGAGCATTGGCCTTTGAGCCCGAAGGCCGTGGCTTCGAGCCCACCACGGGACCTTCTCCACCAACTCCATTGATGTCTGCTATCTGTGTCCTTGGGCAAGACACTTAACACACTTTGCCTATAAGGAGCGCGGATATGATGTTCGCTGCTTGCCTTGTTGTGTATGTATGTGTGTGTATATGTGTATGTATCAAACTGAAATTTCCCCATTGTGGGACGAATAATGGACCTTCTTCTGTTCTAATCAACAGATTTTACCCTATCAAAATCATATTATATACATGATTTTAATATTACATAAAGGAGCAGAAATATATTCAGAAGGCAGCACTCCAATTGAATGAGGAAACAATGTGTTACAAAATACATAAAGGTATCCAGTATTTCGTAATTGACTTCATTTTCAAAGTATTCTTCCTACTACCCCTTCCACTGCAGGGAAAACATAAAACAAGACCGTTAACAAGAGCAGAAAAAGCACAAACTGCACGATTTTATCAGGAAATATTTTTTATTGACTTAAAAAGACGCAAGTCGTTTTTATAGCTCCTGCGACATCTCTGATACAAAGGTATAATGAAAAAGCAATTCGTAAGTTCTGAAATCCTGCCCTCTGCTGGACAAAACCAGAATACAGCCATAAAACAGTCCTCCAAACACCAGGCAAAAGCAAAATTATATACTGAGCTTCTATAAGCTTACAGTATATCCTGTTGTAATGTTTTATAATCACAAATATAAATATCATATAAGCTTATTTACCTTTAATAGAATATAGTATCTTTATATTGGAAACACTCCAAGTAAACATGTCCAAATTACTTTTTATTTTACGAAAATACAGACTGAAAAAACATACTACATCATATAGGCAAATATATCCAGTAGAACAAACCTATACTTTCATTCATTCATTTTTGCCCCAAACCGGATATTGAGATCATTTCATTTGGCACTCATGTTTTAGAACTACTTAAAAGCCGGGGTTCCTCATTTTCAATCAACAAATAATGGAACTATGTAATAATAGTAACTGGGTGCATACTCTCAAAAAAGTTTGGTTCAATCGCTAGTTCTCACATGCATGTATTTTTAGCATCTGTCGCATCTGTAGATCATCTTTTTCAGACTCACTTAACCAATCAGCTCTCAGCCCAAAGCATGAAACAGATTCACGGGGCTCTTTCTTAGTATGCATTTGATCATGACATTTTACTTTTAGAAGACTCAGCTGAGACAAACAACATGTAAGAAATAAGTTGACACGCTGCAAAAAAAACATCAAATATGAGGTCAAAATTGCTTGAATTATTTGGTTTTTATCTTAATTTGACTACAATCTTTAAACAAGATTCTCCAATGAGACAAAGCCATTTAGTCTTATTTCAAGAACTGTGGCTTTATTTTCTCAGTCCAAGGGAGATATTCCTTGGATCTTTTGAAAACAAGATTATATACTTTGTCCCATTGGCAATTTTTTGATTTTTTTAACGCAGTCAAAATGTGTTCAAATTAAAACACATTTTTCTTACTTTTGTCTGTGTAATATATACAAAAAGTTAAAAACATGTGGGATAAGTGGTTAACATCTTGGTTTTGCATTGAATTCAGTGCGATGTTATGGAAGGCTGAGTATTTTGACTGGGAGAAAAGGTAATACTTTTGTTTAAAGACAGAAAATAAGTTTGAGAAACAGAACATTGTTACATTGTGGGGGCTGGTATGGCAATCCCTGACGCAACTCATTCAGTTCAGACTTTCTATCCACCTGACTTGAAAACTTCATTCCTTTGGCGCTCCGAGCAGGAAGTGAGGTCGAAGCAGAGACATGATGGGTTTCCGTGGTGACCCTCCCAGACAGTACGCCTCGTCCACACTCAGGCCGAGGGTCCGGAGCGATCGCAGCGCGGAGCAGCAGGCGTTTATTCCACCGTGGGAAGAGAGAAGCACCAGGGCCAGAGGGCTGTCCTCCACACCCAGCCTCTGCCGGATGTCACCCAGATGAGACCAGAACGCCTGAGCGGGAAAGAGAGATGCGGTTATGTTCTGAATAAAAACTGGGGACACCTTGAGAACAGACATGGATTTGATTGAAGTCACACACTGCGCAACTTTAGTTGAAAAGTAGTGCCAGACCACCAAAATATCAATATTTTTTTGCATGTTTGAATTTGTTCCAAGTAGACCTTCAACATGAATAAGTAGGATTGAGACAAAAAAATTAAACAAATTAATTTAAAATACTGGGACTGTACGTTGGATGCTATTTTGAGGACAATTGAAGCCAAAGAAAGAAGCAGAAGGTGCATAATAAATGTCGGCCTTTTTTTGATGGTAGGGGCGACAGTAGCTCAGTTGGTAGAGCCTTTGGGCCTGAAGGTTGTGGGTTTCAGTCCACCACGGAACCTACTACAACTGCTCCCACTAATGTCTACTGTCGTTGTGTCCTTGGGAAAGACACTTAACCCCTCATTGCCTGAAGCTCCCGCTGAAAGACCAAGGCTGTGGCACCATTGACGTAGCAGCCATCTTCCTGTGGACCCACCACCTGCAGAGGATCATCGAGGGATTGGCACTTTGAGCATTGGGTGGCAGCTCTGATTGTCACCCCCCAGAAATGGACTAATAAAGGGGTAGAGAATGAATGAATGATTTTTAATGGTATATATTATTTAGTGTCATTCTCAGTATATTGAAACAAGGCTACCAGGCAAGGGAGGGCTGGGAGCGACCAGTTCACAGGTGAAACACCAAAAATCATGAAAGACTTCTTGGCAATCGATGATGTCAACACAGAGAGGTATTTGTTGCCCCATTTCTGAGCTTTACAGCTTATTTTGAAACCATCTACTAATAACTTTTTTATAGTTAGCATGCTAAAAGACAGGCAGGCCTGGTGTGAGATTTCATAACACTTTGAAGCAACTTTTGTTAAGGTTAAACTCATCAATCTATCAATGTGCAGAAGCCAGTACTTTTCCCTTGTTTTGTCTATCTCAGTGTTTTTCAACCACTGTGCCGCGGCACACTAGTGTGCCGTATGATATTGTCTGGTGTGCCGTGAGAAATTTGTCTACTTTGTCTAAAAATAACTGCATTCGCTGTTGACGAGCGGTGACTTGTTTTGAACTGTGAGTAACCATGTAATACTTTTTCAAATCAGTAGATGGCAGCAGATAGCTAAGTACTTTGAAACTGAAAAATTGGATGCGACCACTGGCTACAGGTCAGCATTGTGGCGAGAAAGGTAAAATTGGATGCGACCAACAAATGTGGGAGGGAGCGAGACAAGAGCTTTGTGGCGAGTGAGAAGTGAAAGTGATAGAGACGTTTTTGAAAATGAATTATGCCGTTTCTGAACAGGATTAACATCCTCCGCTCTGCCCCGGGGGGTAGCTGTGGCCGCGTTGTAGTGGTTTAACTATGAAATGTACAATTTTTGTACAACAGCTCTCGCGAACGCACTTCTGAACTGGGTACCGAGCGCAGACCATAGTCGAGTGGACAGAACCACAGACATGCGGACCGGACAGAACCATGGACTCGCGTTCAGGACCTCCCGTGTCCCTCATCCAAAACTCCTGAATTTAAAGCTCGGATACCTAAATTTTTCCCATGCACTAACAATGCATGTTCTTTGTGTGAGTTATTATTTGACTATTTGGGCAGAGAGTGGATTTTCTTAGTTTTTTTCCACACAGTTAGTGCCACTTTATTACCAAACTCTTGTTAATTGTATCGAGAAATGTTAAATAAAGCTTAATGTCAAGGCCTGGACTTAAGCATTTTGATGAGAATAACTGTATATTGTGAATATAGGCTACAGAGTATACTGTATACATTATAAGATAAGATAAGATATACTTTATATATCACACAGAGTATGTACAGTATATATTTTTACATTAGTACTGTATACATTTTTACATTTTCTCCTGGAGGTGTGCCGCAAGATTTTTTCAGTGAAAAAAGTGTGCCTTGGCTCAAAAAAGGTTGAAAAACACTGGTCTATCTGAAGGCCAAGCTACATGGCACTGTGGAAGCTGCTGATTGGAGGACTCCATGCCTCCGCTCTGTATAATACACTTGCATTCTATTGTATCTGTGATCGTGTGCTTTGTTTGTGCTGTCTCTACCATCGACAATAAAACATGTCTTCTGTCTGAATTAAAGACGCGATCCCAGACTTGGCACATCTTCTTCAGGTGGTGGAAGGATGCGGGCCTTGTCTGTAACATCTAGAGAACAGAAGACTTTTTTTTTTTTTTACACAAAAAGTGTTTTTTTTTTAAGCCAAAACTGAGAAACCGCAAGAGAATGCATCTGGATCAGCACTTGGACAATCTGCACAGCCCCTGATTCCACTCAGGCTGTGAGCTGCTGAGACATGGACAATACCATCGTCCTCTTTTGCATGGACATGATTTGGAAAAATTGGATTACACAATTTGGACATAATTTGGACTGAATTGAATTGCTGAATCTGGACACTGAAGCTGAAACGTGTGATTGAAAGACACGTCACAGAAGAATTCATGGCTCGACACAAATGCAGCCTGAAGAATCAAAACAAAGAAGTGGGAGAGACTGTTTTCAAAGCAATATCTGGAACCACCATCGACTGATGAAGTTTGGTATTTTACTGAAGATTGTTGACGAGTTTTATGAAAGATCTGAAAATGTTTTATGAGTTTTCTGAGTTTTTGAAGTATTCTGAGTTCTGAGTTTTTGAAGTACCGAGTGAAGTACCGAGTTTGAGTTTTTGAAGTATTGAGTTATGATGTTATGTTGCTGTTTATCGATCCTGATGGTCACACGTGAATGTGTGACCAGAGGGGGGAATGTGAGATTTCATAACACTTTTAAGCAACTTTTGTTAAAGTTAAACTCATCATTCTATCAATGTGCAGAAGCCTGTACTTTTCCCTTGTTGTGTCTATCTGAAGGCCAAGCTACAAGCACACCGTGGAAGCTGCTGATTGGAGGTCTCCATGCCTCCGCTCTGTATAATACACTTGCATTCTATTGTATCTGTGATCGTGTGCTTTGATCGTGCTGTCTCTACCATTGACAATAAAACATGTCTTCTGTCTGAATTTAAGACGCGATCCCAGACATCTTCTTCACTGGTGAAAAAATTACCCCCTTCCCGGTCATACACCAAGTTGGTTTGTTACCATAGGAGCATGATATTAAACAGGCAAAACAGGAAAAATACAACAAAAACAAGAAAACAAAAAAAATCAAAGACACAACATTCCAATAATTTAAGGGCGGAGAAGAGGAGATCTGGTTATTCATGGGACTCACTAAAATTTTCCCAGGCAGATGAAAATTTTCCAGTATTGTTGCAATGTTTTAAGTCAAATTAGCCATCAGGAGTTACAATCACTTAAGTATTAGAAATCGCTAATTTGGTTAAGGTTAGAAATGTTAAACTTGTGGCAAATGTCAAGATTTTAGAGGGTCCTGGTTTATTCACCTGGTGACTGCCTGTGTTCAGATCCAAGATGGCGTCTGCACAGAACATCACTCTGAGCTGTTCAGAGGGTCCGTGGGCCGAGAGCGGGTCCAAGAGAGTGCACAAAACTCCTGAGAGGAAATAGATCATCATTTCTAAGTAGGCAAACTCTTGGGAACAAAAATATTCTAATCTGACCCTTGCTTGCTGCTTGTTTGGCCTCTTCTGAGTCAGTTGTAAGAAAAAGATCAACTTTATTTTCCAGTAAACAGTCAGTTAAGTTGTCCTCATAAAAACTGAACCGGTGGATCTGCAAACCTGGAAAAATATAAGAAAAACACTTTTTGATTATGTGACGTACATAATGTTTACTTGATGTAGAAGTCGCAAGTAAAGATAATATTCATTACAGTAAAATGGAAGTGGAATAGAAATTGTACATAGGACGATATCAGTAACTATGATTACAATTGGAATAATCATAATTTAGCAAACATTTTCGACTACTTGCACCTCGACATTAAAAACTAAGATCAAATAATTTTAAATAAAGTAGACCGAGACAGACAAAGTGAAAGCATAGTTATAAAGAATGTAAAATGACTGTAGACATTCACAATATGAATCAAGACCAAAAACTACTCTGTCCATAGTGTTTCTGTTAAAGCTGAATCCATGTTGTTTGTTCCAACAGAAAGTCTTGCAAAAGTAAAATGTAAACAAATCAGACCACAACATACTTCCTTTCATTGTTAAAAAACATGTTAGATATTGCATACGAGTTACATGGCTGTTACTACATAGTTCCATGTAATGTGGTTTGAAAGTTGGGTATCCCAGTTTCAAAGAATTGTCAGAGCATACTGAATTTGAAGAGATTATTCTAAAAAAGGTGAGTCAGAATTTCATGACATCAGCATGAATGGAGCCAACAACTCTCAGCCTGTTTTTGATGAGGGAACAATGTTTTACAATAGTTAGAAACTCAAAAAGAGACATGTTTGCAGAATACAGTGCCTTGCGAAAGTATCCGCAAGAACCTTTCAACATTTCGCCACATTTCAGGCTTCAAACATAAAGATATAAAAAATAATTTTTTTGTCAAGAATCAACAAGTGGGACACAATCGTGAAGTGGAACGAAATGTATTGGATAATTTAAACTTTTTTAACAAAATAAAAAACTGAAAAGTGGGGCGTGCAATATTATTCGGCCCCTTTGCGTTAATACTTTGTAGCGCCACCTTTTGCTGCAATTACAGCTGCAAGTCGCTTGGGGTATGTCTCTATCAGTTTTGCACATCGAGAGACTGGAATTCTTGCAAAACAGCTGGAGCTCAGTGAGGTTGGATGGAGAGCGTTTGTGAACAGCAGTCTTCAGCTCTTTCCACAGATTCTCGATTGGATTCAGGTCTGGACTTTGACTTGGCCATTCTAACACCTGGATACGTCTATTTGTGAACCATTCCATTGTAGATTTGGCTTTATGTTTTGGATCATTGTCCTGTTGGAAGATAAATCTCCGTCCCAGTCTCAGGTCTTTTGCAGACTCCAACAGGTTTTCTTCCAGAATGGTCCTGTATTTGGCTCAGTCCATCTTCCCATCAATTTTAGCCATCTTCCCTGTCCCTGCTGAAGAAAAGCAGGCCCAAACCATGATGCTGCCACCACCATGTTTGACAGTGGGGATGGTGTGTTCAGGGTGATGAGCTGTGTTGCTTTTACGCCAAACATATCGTTTTGCATTGTGGCCAAAAAGTTCGATTTTGGTTTCATCTGACCAGAGCACCTTCTTCCACATGTTTGGTGTGTCTCCCAGGTGGCTTGTGGCAAACTTTAAACAAGACTTTTTATGGATATCTTTGAGAAATGGCTTTCTTCTTGCCACTCTTCCATAAAGGCCAGATTTGTGCAGTGCACGACTGATTGTTGTCCTATGGACAGACTCTCCCACCTCAGCTGTAGTTATCTGCAGTTCATCCAGAGTGATCATGGGCCTCTTGGCTGCATCTCTGATCAGTCTTCTCCTTGTTTGAGATGAAAGTTTGGAGGGACAGCCGGGTCTTGGTAGATTTGCAGTGGTCCGATACTCCTTCCATTTCAATATAATTGCTTGCACAGTGCTCCTTGAGATGTTTAAAGCTTGGGAAATCTTTTTGTATCCAAATCCGGCTTTAAACTTCTCCACAACAGTATCTCGGACCTGCCTGGTGTGTTCCTTTGTCTTCATGGTTCTCTCTGTGCTTTAAACAGAACCCTGAGACTATCAAAGAGCAGGTGCATTTATACAGAGACTTGATTACACACAGGTGCATTCTATTTATCATCATCAGTCATTTAGGACAACATTGGATCATTCAAAGATCCTCACTGAACTTCTGGACTGAGTTTGCTGCACTGAAAGTAAAGGGGCCGAATAATATTGCACGCCCCACTATTCAGTTTTTTATTTGTTAAAAAAGTTTAAATTATCCAATACATTTCGTTCCACTTCACGATTGTGTCCCACTTGTTGTTGATTCATGACAAAAAATGAAAAATGTATATCTTTATGTTTGAAGCCTGAAATGTGGCGAAATGTTGAAAGGTTCAAGGGGGGCAAACACTGTATGCGTCAAAAAAAGACATAAAATGGCGATTCCTACAGTGCTATATTCCTACAATCTATCCTTTGATCAATCGGTTCATCAAGTACCGGATTCTCTGGTCTTGGTCTGGATCTGGTCTTTCTGCTGCTGTTGGATGTTGGTGCAGATCAGAACCACCTCCATCTGAACGGAGCTGGAGTCCGAGGTTTTCAGCTGCAACAGGCGCTCGTTCACCAGCTGCACGGCCTGAACATGCCATCATCAATGTGAGTTTTCCACTTTTATTTGCACATGATTAGTTTTGCTTATATGTCTGTGAAGTAAAATAACACCAAGACGTCTGTATGTTTTTGTAATGTAAGTGTTTTGCCAGATTTTATTCATGGAATGTCAAAAACTATAATCATGATGCAAGGGCGTGAAGCATTTTTATCTTATTTTATTTTTTATTTGGTTGGGACGGTGAATGTTGTAGCCTTGGGTTAATTTGAATCCATTGTCCCACATTCACACACTCATTCACCCTGAACTATTATACATGTTTTTTTTTTGCAGTAGGGGAAACCGGAGCAGAACATGCAAACTCCACTCAGAAAGGCCCTGTTCCGACCAAGATTCAAACCCAGAACCTTTTTGCTGAGAAGCAAGAGCGCTATACACTCAGCCACTGAGTGGGGTCACAGTGGGTTTTTATTGTGTTTTTGTCAAAACTGCAGACATTCACACAGGAGGAGATTTACCCAGGAATGTCTGAGGTCAAATTTGGGAAAAGTTTTACAGATACGGAAAATTCGCACAGGACTAGAAACACAGATGACGTCTGTAATTATTACAATAGGTCATGCTCATGTGCCATTGCAACATTCCGAAGAGTCAATACTCTAACATTGTAGAGAGTGGCTGAAAAATCTTTCCTGGTAACTATGGTAATGGTCAAAAGTCAGACTACAAGTGTTAAATACATGCATACGTATAAAATGAGGAGGCAAGAGACCGGACTGGGCTTTTAGCTCATGTATTACAGCTTAACAACGTGTAACCAGCATTAAGGAATCAACGTAACTCTTGTATGGGCATAAATGCAGTGGCACAGAAGGGACAATTTACCAATGTCAATACATAACAAGTTTTTGGTTTAGAGCTCATTTACAGCTAATTTATCCGTATGAAACTAAAAGTTCTACATCAAACTGTGTATTGCGGTTTTTGCATGCAGTTTATTGTATTTGCATAAAATGTACGTAATAAAGTATGGTCTAATTGTTTTTTCTTAAAAGTTACGTGGTGACAATATTCAAAAACATATGCATGATGTGGGCCAGTAGAAAGGACTTTCAGACATAAGGACGCTATGGTGGGTTTGTCAATCTAATCACTGTCAACATTGTATTGTATTGTAACGTTGTATTGTATTGTAACGTTGTATTGTATTGTAACGTTGTATTGTATTGTAACGTTGTATTGCATTGTAACGTTGTATTGGCTGTAGTTGTACTTCACCTCCAAGTGAAATAGAAATCTAAATCTACATCTTATTTACCCCAGATCTAATACCATGTGAATAGGGTTTTGTTCAGATTAGAGCTGTAATTTTACAAGTAAGAGACCCCAACTTTTCAAGACAGAATTTTATCATGGTTAATAATTTGATTGATATTATGGCATAGATTTTTTTTAAAAACAATATATAAATAGAACAGCCTCTTGACTGTTGACCTGTAGAAGCGTGAAAGCCGCTCCGCTCTCGTCTTCAGCTCCAAACACAGCGCAGTGTGAGACGCCAATCACCAGAGCGTTCTCAACTCTCCCCTGAAGAAAGATAAAGGATACATTCTCAACACACTGCAAACAGGAGATTAGGTCAAAGTCTGCAACCTGTAAAAGCGGAGGTGAGTGAATTTTGCTTTACCTTTACAAAACAAATTACTATGACAGTGAGGGGGGAATAATAAATACATAACACATCAGTTATATCAAAATCACACTATTTTCCCTAGTATTGGTTTCAGAATGGCACACTATCTTTTGATTGGGCAACAAGGGTATAACTGTATTGTGAATGGAAGCTGAAAACCATTATAGTGACAATGAAGTATAGTACTGTAATGAAGTAATATGCAATAAAGTAGTTTGTCAGAGTGTGCATAAGAAAGGCAAGCAAAGTAGCTCTAATCATGTGATGCATTTTAATCTGTAACTTCAAACAATATAAAAGTATTCTCCCCAACATTGGTGGAAGTAGGAGTCGGAAAAGTAGTAGTAGTAGTAGTAGTAGTGTTTCAGTAGTGTCAGTAAAACTTGACACAGGCTTTGGTATGTTTGTTCAAATATAGCTTCCCTTCCTTTTCTTTCACTGGTGGCTCAGCAAAACACCTTTGCAACTTGTGTTCACAAACAATGTTCCATGGTCTCTTTCATATCTTATGGAGCTGGGAAGACACCACTTGAGTTGATCATCTCTTGTAAAAGTTGTGCCTTTTAGAGAGTCCCCTCAAAGAGCCTGTTAGAGCAAAATGGCAGCCACGTGGATGAGAAACTGGAACTTGATAATAACAAAACAGTAGAAATAAATATAATTCTTGCAAAAAGCGTGTACTATTACCTTATTGAGATACTTTCCAAAAATATCCTAGTATCTACTTATCCCTTGTTATTTTCTGTCAAAATAGGTGATTTGTTTTACCAGAGTTACCTGTCATTTACCTGTTTGACGTCTGCATTTTGAATCGTAAAAACCATTTCCGCCTGTGAAGGTTACTACCGTGTTAATGATTTTTTTCTAAAAACCGTCAAGCGACCTGTTCTTTGACAATAAAAGCACACCTATGTGTTAGACAAAACTTAAAATGAGCAAATGTGATTTCCTTGTGTCTATCTCTGTTGCTGCTGCTACCCTCTGTGGCTTTGTAGTAGTGCGAGCGACGGAGCGGGCGCCATGTTGGTACTGTAAGAAGCATCTTAAAGTCTTTATTATTATTTTTTTTTTTAGATTTTGGGTTAACAGCATAGATCGAACGTAGATTTATTATAAAATAGAGCTGGTTTGATAAAAAAAAAATGAACATAGGGTTACATACACGTTGAAAACAGTCTCGACATTGTGCTAAATAGATTCTAAAAAATAAAACTGTTCGTTTTTCTCATCAAAACATCATTCCAAAGTGTTTTTTAATTGCATTGTTAATGGAAGTTTCATTATAACCAAATGTCAGTCTGAAAGTTTATCATAGCAGCAGTGAATTTTAGGAATTTTAAGTGTTTTGGAAAATATATGTTCGGCCACGGAAGGAAAAAAAAGGCAGTAGAACTCTTGCCTCCAGCCAAATTCAGCAAAACATAACTCCTTTCTTAAGCTTTTAAAACAGGAACGAGAAGGTAGAATCAGGAAAGAGGTATTCAGATGCACAGTCTTCTAGAACATTTTATATGTGTGGAAATGGCGGCGTCACTTCCTTGTTTACCACGCCCACGGCTAAACCTTTATCAAGATACAAGCAACAATTCCGCTCGGATTAAGGCTTTCACTACTCGAAATTAACCTGCAAATAGTGACAGAAGACAGAAGCTGGCGCGGCAACGTTTGAACAAGAGATCGATGCAGTTTTTTTGCAGATTGGTGAAGATTTTCTCCCAAAACGTGGAGGAAAAGTTGCATCTTGCGCCTTTGGATCACGGTGAAAAAGCTCCTTCAAGTGTTAAGCCCTGCCCTTCACTTTGAGGCTTTATTTGTCAGCTAAATATAGATGGTTTATAATAGAAACGTTATTATTTTCAGATTCAGTAGTCCACCTTGTGTGCAAATGTGTTTTAGCAGTAGTACTCACTCTCACTTTGAGCCAATTGTACTCTAGTAATAAATCAGTAATTGTTGCTAAACCAAAGGCTTATCGTCTTATGAACTTGTTGATGTTCCATTGTTAGTTAGGATTAATTTCCTGATAACGTTATTCAACAAGTTCATTTCCCTCGTTTATAGATGTAAATTACATTAGAAATTTGCATTCAGTACAGCTGACATTTGTGTTTCTAACCATTGTCCATGTTGTTGCCACATAGTTTTGCATATAGCTAGACACTCTTGTATGTTCATTAAAAATAGATGTACACGTTTAGGTTTGTGTGTGGTGTAGTAATATGTAATTTTTATAAACCAGTTTGATCAGTGGCTGTTCAGACAATAACACACCTCAAAACAGGTCAAGTGTAAAAGTCAACAAAGAAAGAGGCGACTGCAGACTCAAGAATGCATTTGTTTAATGAGTGTAATTCATGCAGAGCTATTTTTATATAATTATGCCTCTGTGGAAGGTTTAGAATGCAATGCAAAAATTATTACAGACAGAAATGAATGGGTTTTTATAATTTTTTTTATCTAAATTGATGTATTCTTTTACACTTTTTGGAATGGTGAACTGCTGCTTTAGCCAGAGCTGCTCTCGGCCCAGACTGACAGAAGTAAGGCAAACGACCTGTGCGAATCGCCACCAATCATTCACGCACACATCAGACTCATACTAGGGACACACTTGCTTAAGGACACAGCAGTAGTTTGGCCGAATATTTGTTCATTATACATTTTCTGTCTCTTTTCAGTGTCCACCATGCGGCCTTTGTTGTTGAGGTAGATTCATAAGCAGCAGCAGGATGTTGAGGCGTCTGGATAGGATTCGGTTCAGAGGGACAAGGAAAGAGGAGTTTGTGGATTCCACTGATTCTCCGAACACATCTGACAATGAGGGCACAGAGGACGTCCCACTGAAGACACAATTCCCCAGAGATGCAGAGGAGCTGGGGTACCGGGACCCAGACTCAGACCTGCTCTCGGAGGCCCAGGTAAAGAACAGTGCAAGGCGGGTTCCAATGTGTACAATATGACGCCGTCACTGTGCATGTTTACAAAGCAAAAAATACAGAGTATGCAAAAAAAATATTTATTGTAGCGGCTAAACCAGTCTGACCACTCTGCTCACAGAAATGTACAGTATTTTCACCAAAATTCTAGATCTTATGTAATTATTCAACACATAGGATACTATTCTAAAATAAACAAACAAGACAGGACCAGGCCTGAAAATTAAACACATTAAATAAATATAAATAAAAAGAAAGAAAATGAACTTTGTGTTGGTCCAGACTTAGACTTAGCTCGCCTTAGTGCCGTGTACTGCTCCAAATAGGCCACTGCAGACGAGACAGTAATTAAGGGGGCTTCCATCTTGTAGTAAACGTATTTTTAGCTACTGTGATTGATTTTAAAATAGAACCAGATGATCAAACGCATGAGCTGTTGTAGCAGGCACAACAGCCTTAACTAGGTCTATCTCTTAATTCCTCTTGTCCTCTTGTGTTGTTAGGCTGGTCCTGGATTCTCTGCAGCTCTTCATGATGACAGAACAGACCTGACTGAGGTGAAAGGGCTTCTGGAGATCGCTCTGTTAGAGAAACACTTCCTCCGTGAGTTAAAAACACTATAAATATGATTACTGCTGCCCAAATCATAAAACAATTTTATAATCATATACAACAGAGGTCGAGATTTAATAACTTTTAATCTGAGCCAATATTGTATTTGTTGTGTCTAATTTATTGAATTATGCTTTTGGAAAGTGGGGGGTAATTTAGCAAGATGTCTACCTACATAGTTACAAAAAAAAACATTTTCTGAGTGGTCTAACGTTGAAACTGGTTTTGTCATTTTCAGAGGAGGAGCTGAGGAAACTCAAGGAGGAAACAAACATAGACATTTTGAAGCAGGATTTGGAGCGAGAACGACTCAAACGTGTAGAATTGGAACAGAAAGTCCAAGAGGCGCTCAAGAACAAGTACGACTGAAACTGGAATGTTTTATTTCAACACAATTTCTATCTTTCCTCATCTTCTGTACAATGCTTGTTTTCAGAGGACCAGAGGACTCCCCATCTCACTCTCAAAGGGTTCCTACACCGGTCACTCCTGCTCCAGAAGTCCCAGGTAAAATACTTTTTACTTTTTAAAGTTAGAATACTGCATCTTCTTGGCCAGTTCATCTTGCTTTTTTATTCACTCTGCTCAAACTCTAAAGTGGGATCATTTAGAGTTTATTAAAATATTGGATTATATTTGATTTGACATTGTGCTAGTTTAATGTGGAGCCTTTTCCATGTGACACACACTGACATTGAAAGCTGATTTTGGAATTAAGATGAACATTTTATAGTTATGTGCATACTGTATTTCTATGAATCATATTTATTTCTAACACTAATGTTAAGGTTTGTATAAGAATGCTTTGTGAGGGGAAAACATTCATACCAAACTGCCGTAATCTCACCATGAGAACAATACAGTGGAACTTTGAATCTTGAGTTTAATTCGGCTTTATTTAAATCTGGAGTACTTAACTTTGAAACTGCAAAAAATTACAACATAGTTAAATCCATGTACACACTCCAGGAGGTGGGCAGAGTCGCGGCCGCAAGGCGCTTGTCAAACCAAAATGACCCACACGTGTTTTGCCTCAGAGACCAGAAGAACAAATGCACACATCTGACTGTTGCTGCTGCACTGTTCTCTACTCTCTCTGTACTCTCTGCACTTCTCCATTGCGTAGGTCGCTCAATAAAGATTTACAGAGTTAATGGAGGTCCTCGTTAACAGCAACATTAACGCATTAAACTGACAGCACTTGTTTAGACTCTCGATACAAATGAAGATGTGTTTTTTTCTGTCTACACTTGCTCTTTCAAACGGTGTCTCTATGTCCAACTTGAAGACAAATATCCCATTTAGAAAATGAGTTACTCACCGAATTTAATTTGGTTAAAATAGCCTTAAATCACAAACAGCAGTTGTCTTGGAGGACTTTACAAAGTTGTTAATTCCTCAACAGCAGATCAGAGAATCAAAATGTTACACATAGGAAGCAGGTGGGAAGACCTCTGTCTATAAATGGCCATAAATGTCCTCAAATGTCCTGGATCATCACTGTCCAGCCTTTTTAAAGGATATGGGATGTTTATAGAATATGATTTTGGGCACACTGTAAGCATGGCCTTTCCGCGTCACTTTTAAGATGGACATTCATTTAGCTGTTGTTGGAGTTTCTATCCAAAGTAAGGAAGAAGCTCGAAAGGTATTTGTCTTAATCAGGAGCGTAAGTTTATTGTAACACACGTGCGGAGAACTCACATACACAAAGCAGCGTACATCAGTTCTGGCGGGGCCAGTCCCAGGTCCCCGTTTACATAGACAACACATGAAAGACAGTCACGCCCACAAAAGGTGGGAGGGGTCACAGTTTGAGACGGGCATCCAGATGGCGAGGCGCCTTGCCTGGTGAGAGACAACTCTTTGTGCCATGGAGATGCAAACAGAAGGGACAATAGACATGCAGAATGTAAAAGGTCAATAGCATGTCTGTCGGTGCAGGGGGGAGACCGGTTCCTTCCTGCAGGTTACTTGAATAGAACAGCGGGGGGTGAGTTGGCGTCCTTGAGGCTAATCCAACTTGCCATAACACTGTGTTGCCAGATGGAAATATGCAGTGTTAGTTGCTCTGAAGGAGGGTTATTGGTTAATATTCTTTACAGTGTTGCTCGGGGTGATGTTTACAGTATGAAGTGTGATTATCTGATCAGTGAGGGAGTCAGAGACAGAATAAGAATTCTTTTTCTTTACCGTTTTTGTTGTTGAGGAGCAGAGCAAGGTTTTAGGCACTAAGCCTTTCTTATATGATCTGTCTCATTTGGTTTCATGGACTGGTAACTAACAAATATTTTTCTCTCTTCAGAGAAACAGAGAGAGTCCATCTATAACCGTTTCTTGAAATGGATTTACGATCGATTCGGAGTTTACATCGAAGACTTCAGGTTTCAGCCTGAAGAGGAGACTGTGGAGACGGAAGAACCTCTCAGCGCCAAGCGGTGAGATGGACTCTAAGTGCCATTTAGTTGTAATAAGTTGTATAGGGCCATTTTAAACATTTGGAGAAAGATTTACTTTATTCAAGAACTTTAGAGTGGGTAATTCTAATTATGATGCAATACTGTATTTGATAGTAGGTTCATTCCCACTGAGCAAAAATGTGTTTCCCTGCCCATAAACCCTGTCCATTACCCTTTTCATTACACACTAAGCAACTTAGTCTTTTTAAAGAGGCATGTTCAGTGTGAAAATGTAAAAGATTTGAAAACCACACACAAGTCACATAAGGGACAAACCTGGATCTCTTTTTGGGCTCACATTGCTCTTGTCAGCAGTGTGTGCAACTTCAGCATAAAGTTGTCCTTGTAAAAAATGTTTGAAAATGTTTATATTGCTCTACGTAGATGATAAACTTGCTCTAGTCTAATGCAATTCCCTTTTGACACATGTCTTTCCCATGGTTAACTTAAAAGCAGACATGGCCCCAAACAACACGGCAACCATTCCCACTGATGTCTCGGGTTAAACGGCATTTCAACAGAAGTCAAAAAGCCCGGGCCTAGAGCTTCTTATATTCCCTCTGGAACTGTCCGTTGCAACACATTAAAACTGTTTTTTTTTCTTCCTTAGGTTGACAGAAAACATGAGACGACTGAGTGAGTCCAAATGTTGTATGTTATTTCAACATTTGTAATTCAGTTGTGTGATTGTCTACCTTCATTGCACTTTTAATTTTCAGAGAGAGGATTCAGACCTGTGTCAAATTTCAAGAGAAACGTCAGGGCTCTGTCCAGCTGGTATTCGGTCTACACTTCAGGAATCGCTTTTCTGGTAAATACATTGGAGTCAAGAAGTGCACTGCAAAAAGATGCTATCTGGTCACACTTAAAGTTGGGGTACCTAAGCTAAAAAAAATATATATATTTATATTTACTATATACTTTCCATTGAGACAAACAAAATGTATTATTTATGAAACAAAAAATAGGTACCCGTGCTTTAAAGGACACAGGATTAATTAACTAGCAAAAACAGTCATATTTACTGCAAATAACAAAACTTGTTGAAGATTGTAACTTGAGGAATTTTCAAAACTGCGATACTGTATCTGATTTTGAAATTGAACTCTTCACAAATTATACAGAATAGACTTTTTCAAATGTTAACGCATTGTCTTAAGAACATCTGTCAAAATGCCTTTGATACAATTTTGATAAGAAAAACCAGAATTTGTGACTTTACTTGTTTTATTGGCTATTGATTTATGTAATCAACTTGATTATCTTTAAATTTTTAATTTGAAGCTGTAATTAAGTAATCAAAATTAATCTCATATAAACATTTGACTTGACAACAGCAAAGTATTTTTTTCACATGGACTGTTAGTGTACCAGTGAGTAAGCAACCAAGTCCAACCAAGTCCAACCAAGTCCAACCAAGTCCAACCAAGTCCAACCAAGTCCAACCAAGTCCAACCAAGTCCAACCAAGTCCAACCAAGTCCAACCAAGTCCAACCAAGTCCAACCAAGTCCAACCAAGTCCAACCAGTGATCTGCAGTCAAGTGCAATCCAGCGCGCCAGCCAGGCGGTTTGTTTTTTCAGACATCCATGTCCATCTATCCAGCCATGTTCTTCCCCTTAACCCATTTCTGGGTCGGGGGGGTGGCAGTCAGAGCTCTACCTAATTCACAGAGCATCAGCCGTGGACTTCAATCACCTGTTGCAGTGTGGGTCTTTGTACTTTGGCTAACGTCCATGCTAGCTGCTTTATGTTTAGCATTGATGTGATTTACAAATACAACCGTGCTCTTATCTGCGCTTCCATCCGTTCGTTATCATATTTCCAATCCACAAAGCCAACCAATGCGGTTAGCTGATTAATGCATGTTCATGTGGTTTGTTGTTGTCCGAACGCTAATTTGTGCTCCAGTATAACAGTTTGGAAAAACTGTTATTAAATAATCCTAATTAAGACGTTAAAGTTCCAGCCCTAGATATTAAACAGATAAAACAATAATGAAGGACATTTAATTAACATTGATTTCTTTATGTCTTCACTCTCAGATTTACATGTACGCAGCGTGGTACGGCTGGACTATACCCATGTTCCTGTTTCTAGCCATTGTTCGTCTCTCCTTAAATTACCTCATTGCAAGGTCAGTCTCAACACTTTTTTGTCATCAGCAAACATGACTTTTGTTTGTGCATGTCGCCCACCTGTTGATGATTTCAAGATTAACTTTTGTATAATTTCAATCAATCAATCAATCAATCTTTATTTATAGGGCGCTTTTCCTGCACAGGGCAACACAAAGCGCCTCACAGTCCACACCACACAATGCACAAATCATCACCATTAAAATACAATTAAAAACACATATGTAATTAAAAAGCATTAAAATCACATTGTGTTGTTGCAGAGGTTGGAGGATACAGTGGACCATTGTTCCAGAAATTTACGAACCAGTGGTGAGAAATATAACCCGTGATTCTGCTTAGTCTTATTTAGAAATCAAATCGCGACTTTATGCATTTTAAAGAATTTCTTTGCAAATTATGGTGGAAAAAAAGTATTTGGTCAAAAACAAAAGTTCATCTTGATACTTTGTTATAGACCCTTTGTTGGCAATGACAGAGCTGAAACGTTTTCTGGTAGTCTTCACAAGGTTTTCACACACTGTTGCTGGTATTTTGGCCAATTCCTCCAAGCAGATCTTATCAAGAGCAGTGATGTTTTGGGGCTGTTGCTGGGCAACACAGACTTTCAACTCCCCCTCAAAGATTTTCTATGGGGTTGAGATCTGGCAAGGCCACTCCAGGACCTTGAAATGCTTCTTACAAAGCCACACCTTCGTTGCCCGGTCGGTGTGTTTGGGATCATAGTCATGCTGAAAGACCCAGCCAAGTTTCATCTTCATTGCCATTGCTGATAGAAGTAGGTTTTCATTCAAAATCTCACGATACATGGCTCATAATACAGTACATCTCTGCAAGTCATTCACTAGGTCCCCCCCGTGTGGTTCTGGTATTTTGCTGACTGTTCTTGTGATCCTTTTGACCCCACGGGGTGAGCCCCAGATCAATTTCTTGTGTATCTTCTATTTTCTAATAATTGTTCCCAGAGTTGATTTATTAACACCAAGCTGCTTACCTATTGCATAGTCAGTCTTCCCAGCCTGGTGCAGGTCTACAATTTAGATAAGATAAGATACTTATTGATCTCACACAGGAGAATATTTACATGTCACATAGATAAAATCACTCAACTTTGTGCAAAAGACAGAAGCTTGCAAACATGTTAGAGGCAAAAAATATAGTCTGTTTAGGATATATTATGTACAATAAAAGGTTGCAATTAAAGAAACAGTGGCAATAGCAGTGCAGGTTTTTAGTCCTAGTGCAATTGAGGGTGCCTCAGTCTTCCACTGAAGGAGCTCCTCAGCTCCTCTACAGTCCTGTGCAGTGGGTCTGAGGTGTGGTCCATGATGGAGGTGACTTTGACTAGCACCCTCCTGTCCCTCACCTCCTCCACAGAGTCCAGGGAGCAGCCCAGAGTGGAGCTGGCCCTCCTGACCAGCTTGTTCAGTCTACTCCTGTCCCGCTCTGTGCTGCCCGGGGCCCAGCACACGGCTGCGTAGTGTATGGCAGAGGCTACCACAGAGTCATAAAAAGTCCTGAGCAGAGGCTGCTCACTCCGAAGGACCGCAGCCTCCTCAAAAGTTGATGTACACTTTGGCCCTTCTTGTACAGGGCAATGGACAGTGCCCTGAGGGGCCCCAGTACTGCAGACTACCACCTCAGACTCACAGCTGCGCAGCGGCACATACAGTACTGTGGTCGGTCTGAGAGGTAGTTGATGGTCCATGCAGTGAGGTGACTGTCCACTCCCGCGTCCTCATCTTCCCCCGCAGCAGTGCCGGTTAGTTTCAGGTGTTCTTGGCCATAGTGGAGTTTGGAGCGTGACTGTTTGAGGTTGTGGACAGGTGTTTTTCACACTGATAATGAGTTCAAACAAGTGACATTAATACAGATAACGAGTGGAGGACAGAGGAGCCTCCTAAAGAAGGAGTTACAGGTCTGTGAGTGCCAGAAATCTTGCTTGTTTGTAGGTGGCCTAATACTTATGTTTCACCATAATTTGCAAATAAATTCTTTAAAAATCAGACAGTGTGATTTTCTGTATGTTTTATTCTCCTTTAGTCTCTCATAGTTGATGTTTACCTATGATGAAAATTACAGGCCTCCCTTATCTTTTTAAGAGGGAGAACTTGCACAATTAGTGGCTGAGTAAAAACTTTTATTCCCCTCTGTATATTTTACATTTTACTCCGTTGATCTACCAGGAGCCGCCCAAAGAGGATTTAACAGTTTCAGAGAAGTTCCAGTTGGTCCTTGATGTTGCTCAGAGAGCTCAGGTTTGATAACAATACAATATTACTATATTGCAGTAATCATGTTAATAGAGTAATATTCTGACAAAAGGCATTTAACTTTTTTACAGAATATATTTGGGAAAATGGCGAATATCCTGGAGAAAATTAAGAAGTGAGTTTTTAATTTTCATACGTTGCGGGGCTTGAATGTGTTCCCCAGGTCATAGTTTGAGCATGTATGGCCTAAATGAATTTATTAATGGGAAAATCCTTAAACAGCATTCACCATTTTCTAGTTGGCAATTTATTTGCGTTGTATTTAGTTAGTTTAAAAAACTTATACCACATGTTTATATTTGTTATGAAGTAGGCATGCTACTTTTTTATATATGAAGGTGCCAAACTTATCAACAAGAATCAGGATTTTAAAAGCTAATGCCTGAATTTGGAGCCCAGGGCGATAATTAATGTAATGTGCTCTATCTTTCTTGTTCGAGTCCCAAACAATATTGTGTCTTGTGTTTAGTTTGTTCATCTGGGTCCAGCCAGAGCTTACGCAGAAGCTTTATGTGGGTCTGTGGGTGGCCTTCCTCGCCTCCTGCTTCCTCCCCTTCAAACTGCTCGGCTTCATCATCGGTGAGTGATGTTTGCTCTGGACAAACACAGGTGCGATCTCCCACGCCTGAAGTAAGAAAGGCAACACTCTGTAAATGACAAACTAGAATGTCACTGTTGTTTGAATTTACAGTGGCATGAAATGACCGGTGATATAGGGCTAAACAATTTAGATTTTTGACTTTGCAAAGTATTTATAAAGCTAGACCTTCTGCACATTTTGCCACAAACATTCATTCATCCATTCCCGTTTGCACAATAAATATACTTCCCTAGAATCCCCAGCTACGAAAGAGTCCGGAGTGTTTTTGTCAAATAATGTCCTCAATTTTGCTCCATCCACCTTCTCATCAACTCTCATAACATGATGCTGCCATCCCCATATCTGACACTGGGGACTAGTTAGTTTTGAGTCCAGGATCAACAGTGATCCTATTAATTACTTTGTGATATCAGGTCATTTTTCATACATACTGTACCCCATGACCAAACAGCAGGTTAAAGCAAAAAAGTACCCCTACTGTGAGTGAATTTATCCTAATGATGCAAGTTTTGACAAAAAAAATCTGCTTTTAATTCAAAAACATCGGGAAGCATTTTGAAATGTTCCCCATGGCTTGAAATTGTTGGAACTTTAGCTTCTCATTTTTGTCTTGAAATGAAATTGATTCCTTCAGGTGAACAATACATGTTCATATTACAGTCTGACAGCAAATTTTAACCCAGTCTCTATTCTACCTCAGGCGTTTACGCAGGGATCAAGTTCTTCGTCATTGACTTCTTCTTCAAGCGCAGCCTCAAACTCAGACGGCGTTTTGACACTCCATACATCATTTGGACAAACCTACCCACAGACTTGCAGCTGAAGGAGCGGAGCAGCGGCTGCACGCTGAGCCGCCGGGTCAGTCATGTCATAACAGGGATTTTTTTCTCCAAACTGATATTGTATTGCATATTGAAATTAAATGCAATTTGTGACACCTAGGTGTGAATTTGTATCAAAGCTGCTGCTACTTTCTTGTTTTGAAGAACCCATATACTGTAGAATAGTTGAGATTTCACTTATTTTCTTACTTATTTCCATTTTTTGATTATTTGCTGCTGTCTGTCTCTCTCAGCCCTCTGAGTGTGAACAGGTAGGACTGTATCTTCAGGCTGTGTCCCGAACTGTAGACAAATATAGTTCCTTTACACGCATAACCCAACCCCTAAAACCTGTAGACCTCATAGACTGTTTGTTCTGCTGTAGATTTAATTCCAAAGGAAGGTATGTGATCCCACAGCCTGAAATGGTTTTTTGTTTTGGTGATTTCTGGTTACTCGTTTTGTGTAACTTGTGTTTACAATGTCAAAGATTGAGGAGATTGATAAAAATTGAGAAATTAAGGCCATGCGCAATATTCATTAAATTAATTCATGAGACCCCCTTGCTTATTTCAAACATGAGCTCTAATAAATGTCACCCAATAGGAAAGTGCTCATGGACGAATTATGGCTCCAACTCAATTTAGCTCCTATTAACTGAAATTTCATACAAAGATACAATAGAATAATTTAGTTTTTATAAAGTGTAAAAAATCAGTTTTGCAGGGATCACATTGACACCTGTGTTGTCTTTTGCGCAGGCGACTTCTGCCTCTGGTCGCAGTCATAACGGCGCTGCTGCTGCGATGGGGCCGATCAGAGAAGAGGATTCGGGACGAACTTACAGCACCAAACGAGGCCCTTTCCATGAAGTCTTCAACCTGTCTGAGACAGAGCAACCCCTAACAGGTGAGGAGAGCTACTGCAGTTGGAGAGAGCACTGACCAGCTGTAAACATACCTATAGTCTAATCTAGATGTATGTGAAGATAAAGCATTTTTTTTTCTTTTTGCCTCTTAAAAGGAGGTTGTAATTTTCATTGCTGCCAGTAGATGGTGCCAAAACCAAATACCAATTGTTGGTATAATCTGATATTCACTAATTATTTTAAATTCTATGACAATTAATGTCAAGTTAATTTTACTCAATAGCACACACATCACACATGTGTCATTCGTTATAAACTATTCTGTTTGAGGCAATGTTACTGAAAGCCAAATTTACTGTTGCACTCGATACTATTACATGTTTTTTCTTGGTAGATTGTGAGAACGGTTGGCGCTGCTGCCTCATCAACAGAGACAAGAAAACGCCAACAGACTACATCCGTAATGGAGTCCTCTTCATCACAGAGAAGTGAGCTTTACACAACCATCTGTGGTCTTTGCTTTTATTATCTCTATTGGACATAGAGGGCGTTTACAAAACTATAATGGGAAAAATATTTCCCATTTGATAGGAGAGACGAGGTTAAAAGCTACTGTCAGACTGCACTAGGAACATGTATTGTTAGCCTGGAAGAATCAATTTTGTTATGAGACAAAAATGTCTAGCTCGATTTCCATAACAATTTCAAGCCATGAGGACAATTTCAAAATGCTTTCTGATGTTTTTGAGCCATAGCAGAATAAAAAAATTGCACTATTAGGATAAATGGTGTACAGAGGAAGTGCTGCTGTGCACAGATTCTAATGCAGTTGAACTGCATTTGTACACGTAAACCAGATCGGAATGAGACTTCAAGCAGTGATGCATCCAAGATGGCGGCGTATTCAAATCAATTCCTGGTGCTCATGTGCCACCGTGGGCACCAAAAGATTAGCGGATCCATCTCATATTTAGCCATTTCTCTGGTCCTCCCGGTTCTGCCCAATGGACGACCTCCCATGATGCTTTGCGGCAAATGCTAGCAAGCATGCATGTTTGGCTTTCATGCACGTGCACAGAGGAGCACGGCTGGGTTCCGACCAATCAGTAATAAGTAATAAGGGAAAGTTAGAAGATACCTTTGAAAGTGTCCAAAGGTCTGGAGCCATGAACGGCTTCTCAGTGGGGCGTGCAGAGACCGCCAAAAACTCGCCAGACCTGTTTGATAATTAACTTTAGTGTGTTTTTAAGTTTTTAACAGTCTTCGGTCTGTGTTCCAGCTTCTTGTGTTTTGAGGTGTCCACTTCTCGATCGGGACCATCCAAAAGAAACAAAGTGATCAGATTGAATGAAATTATTGAAGTCCAGAAAGTAGACGGGGTATGTTTTGGTGTTTATTTATGTATATATATTTCTGCTAATTTTCTTTAAAAGTTCATTTTTGTGCTGTTGTTTCTGCATCTCTTCAGTACAAAGTGCTGTCAGTTCTTCCTGGTTCTGGGATGGGCATCTCTATAGCAACGCCAAACACACAGAAGGTAAACCTTTCAGACAATATTAAAAATTAAAAACACCAGAACCGTATAGGGCGCTAAACCACAGTTACGGAGTTAGAGGAGTTTGTTTCTCAATGTAAGTCATTAAGAGCCACAGCGAGTTTGTAGCAACACTCCGTCTATGAGCATTTCCCTATTGGGCTGAATTGAGTGTTGAGTGTTGGCATTGTCCATCTATAAACAGTCCATGGCACGAACAAAACACAAACATGTTTTACCCGTCACATTCAGACACATAAAAAGGTCCATTTAAAACTATTGGTCTCATCTCTGAAAGCTCCAGCAAGAAAAATAGTCCAACAATTCAGAAATCACAAACTGAACATGGAAAGTGTCATACATGACATGCTTGTATGTTTGTACGTGCGTACGCATGTTTTTAAAAGAGGCCCTGATCCTGAACCTAATCTTCCAAACTTTCGGCACTGACGCATCTCCCAAATATATTTTCTCTTCATACACTATTTTAATTTCACATCAGGAAGCTCCGCCCACAGTCTTTCTCTGACTTAAACTTTTGTTTCAGTCAGATTTGATTTGTACACAATGCGTGAAAATGTGACACATGCTAAAAGGACCACCCCTACCCAGTAAAAGTAAAAAGTGTAATGTTAGATTTTTAGTGCAAGACACCCCAGCTTTCACTTGCACATTTGTTTTTAATATTTTCCTGTTTCCAGCCGCTGGTTTTTGGGGGAATGATGCACAGAGACGAAGCCTTTGACGCCATTGTGTTTCAGCGAGCAAAAGTTACCATGACATCAGACACAGAAGAGGAGACTAATTTAATTTAGAGAATGTATGTATGTAAGTATGTATGTAGTTATGTGTGCGTGTCATTTTGATGAGGGAACAAATGCTTTGAACAATCACAATCGATACATAATCCAAAACAGCTTCAACTGCCTTAAACCGTGACATTTACAAAACTGTGTGAAAGATTTTAAAGATTCTATTATTTAACATAATTGTATGCACGGCGATGTTTTTGACCTGGAAGAATGTATTGGTTTGAATGGAGCAAATGGATTCAAAAGCGACATTGGGTTTTTAACATTGGACTTTATCTATATTATGCATTATTGTACGTTTTTGAGCTTTTAACACTGTTTCCAAACTGTCTGCAAGGAAACCCACACAACTGATCCTAAAGCTTCTTGGAGACCTCTGTGACGGAACATTAAGGCACTATTTAAAAGCACCTTTAAGACAGGGTAGTCACAGGGTCTTTCAACCTTTAAAATGTAAAAATTTAAGGCCTTAAAAGTTTTACATTTGAGCAAACTTGATAAAAAGGACATTGCATTTGTGGCATTAAATATTCTGTTCTCCAGATTGCACCTTATATAATGGGACTATTGCTGATGTCAAATTTAAAAAGTCTAATTAAATGTAGCTATTTGATTCAATAAAGTATCTTTACAGCCAAAATGTACACAAATAATGCATAATATTTCACAGTTCACCGCAGACAAACAGTGTATGTCGGCTTACATTAGTTTAGTTACTTTAAGACTCAAATGTATGAATGTTTTGGACAATGTCAATGTCTCATTTACTCCGCTATCTCAACAGATATTTCAACAAAAATCCTTTTTAACTGCTATAGGTTGTGTTCATTCAATCTTTTGTTGATGTTTAACTGTTTTCCAGATCATTATTTGACAGTGATTTAGATTCCCAAACCCGCCATGTTGTTCTTATGTCTGAAAGTCCTTTCTACAGGTCATCATGGATACGTTTTTGAATAGGGCCACTTCCAGTCACAGTTATGAGAACGTGTTTGTTTTATGTGGATTGGTCCAGGAATCAGAAACATTAGCTCTAGACTAGACTAGTCTAGAGCTAATGTAAAGACTTATGGCACTTACCACAGTAACCAGAACAGATTGTTACCACATTTTGTGTTGTGATGTCACACAAACACAACATATTGCAAATATTAGTCCAATAAATTCTAGATGTTGGTATAAGCAAAACAGCTAAATTCTGCAATCAAAGTCTCGTCTGATTTTTAGCATAGTTTTCAAGAACAGTCATTTGTTCCTAAATTCGCACAAATTGTTTTAAAATGCATGTGACTAGTGACATTTACTGCTCAAGTTAAATGGAGCCCAATATTTACAGTAGTTTTAGAGAGAGTGACCAAAAGTTTTAGAAAATGTTATAAAAAAATATACAGGAAGTTACACCCTGAATTTTAAAATGGAATCCCTCCCTCGTCTGTCCCTGTGATGTCATGACGGGGACAGACGAGACACAAGAAAAGCAATTTGTATTTTTTAGTGTGTGTTTATGTTCTTGTATTAAAAAAGAAATAATAATTTGATAAAACCCGCAATTTTTGATCATACAGGAAGTAGAACTGTTACCGCTTTTATGCGATTTGAGGTTATCTTACGACTTCCCAAAATCAGATCCATGTCTCACACAAACACACAGTGACACAAACTTCCGTGGGGGAAGCATGAAACTGTTGGTAAGAAGTCGGAACTTAAGAGTTTCCGAGATTTCATAAAAGCGGCAAGGGTTCTAGGGCTAATCACAAGGAGGAGAGTTCATCCTAAACTTTTTCACTATTTACAATTTTTTTTGTTTACATTCAAATTATTCACTCCACTAAATCAAATTTTCTTGTAATTTAATTAGTCCAATCTGTCAGAATCTTAGTCAAAATCATTATATATATAAGAATTTGCTAAGTATTGTAAAAGGTTATGTCTAAATTGTCATATGCACTTTATTATTATTATTGACATTTTTTTAACCAGGAGGAGGGAGGCTGTGTTTGGGGAGCTATTGATCTCGTTTTTAGTGGTGGGGGAACCGGGGCATCTGGTTAACTCCAGGTTTAATTGAACCCAGGATATTCTTGGTAAGAAGCACAGGCGCTTAAACTGTCATAAGAAACATGTGCAGTCTCATATTTCTACTCGTCACTGCCCTAATTATGTAAATTTGATCATATTTGACCATTGTTTACTGTGGTTGCTCTGGTTACCACATCTACCTACATTGCAAACATTGATAAAAAGCGTTTTTAATCTTGGTTTTAGTACATTTTGCCTTAAAAAAAAAAAAAAAAACACATCAGCAATAGGATTAGTAAAAAGGTCTTTTTTTTTTCAAGGAAGGTAGCTTTTTTCATTGACCTTGTAACTGGATAAATTCAAGAAATGTTTACTTATGTTATTTTTGCAGCTATTATAACTACAGCCCATGTCCAACCAGGACACAATATAAGCTTGACCAAACATGGAAAACTGGACAGGATTTTGAGTCTCAAAGAACCGGTGATATAGTCTTTAAATTCATTTTCAGTGTTGATGTTTCCATAAATGAATCCAAGGTTTTTAGACCAGGTTATGATCATGGCGTTCAACTGTTTAATTCCTGTGATCTGTGACGCTTTATAAGAACTAGAGCTTAAAGGTTGACTTAAGACCAGCAACAAGTATTTAAACATGGGTATTATATCACTGTGGTATTTGACTTTTGTTTACACTTTTCAGCTCAGAGGATTTGATTTTTGCTGCTATTAACATGATTTCATTTAATTGTTTGCTTATTGCCAAGTACATAATGTTAGGGGTTTTATATACTGTTTTTAACTTGTATTTATGGTATTGTAAACTTGTGGTTGTAATTACCGTTGACAAATGGGACAACTGCGTGTAACCGTAATTGTTTTTTTTTTTTTTATTAAAACTATTACAATCCGTTTTTTTGAAGACTGTCTCTTGTTCCTTCCACAACAATTAGTCAACTTTTGTTCTATTGTGATGTTGCCTAATGTGAAGGGAAGATTTACAAGCAAGACTCTGCCTGTGATACAAGTAGCTCCTAGGCACTTGTTAGGATTTAAGCAGACAGAGACGGATCGTGGTGTGCCAAACTCTGGAAGTTTATTTAAGTTTCTCTCAAGTTCCACTGGTTTACTCTGTTTCTTCCTCTCAGACAGAATAAAGGCAGTACACAGTTTATATAGTCATTGTCACGTCACACATCGAAAGACATACGTGTCACAAAGAGACAGTCACATCATAGTCATAACATGGAGTCCTTGTAGAGTCCTTGTACAGTCCTGCACGTAGGCCATATTGCTATCTAATACTAATACCCTCCCCTTTGATCACATAATCACATGTGATCACTCAAATCAACCAATCAATAAAGTGGAAAAAGAAAAAAAAAAAAATCCTAAAAAAAACTTTAAAAAATTATTAAAAACAAAGAAAATGTATGCATTAAACTCATAATCATCAAATCAATATCAGTGGATTTTATCCTCTATCCTGGGAAAAAATAAACAAACAAAAATAAAGTAAATAAACAAACAAAAAACAAATCAAAAATAAAAACAAACAAAAATAAAAACAAACAAACTATTGGACACACAAGAACTCAGCAGATTCAGTCAAAACACAGACAAAAACGAGCTGAGTCTCAAATTTGAAGCTAATTTCACTTTTCTTACTCTATACTTTTATTCTAATGCTAATTGTTTACACTACACTTCACTTATTTTCACTTTTCAATCTTAGACTGTGTACTTTACTCTCACTATTCACTATAGTTTAAAACTATTCTAATCTATTTACAAATATGTTTGCATATTTGCTTCTATTGAGCCATATTCTTAAACATACATTTTAATCTAATAAATCTCTCTGTGGTTTTACTCTCATTATCAGTGGCTTATTGTCAGTGGGATTTTGCTCCATGTCTATTCTACATTCTCAGGAATAAAACTGTGAACACAGTAAGACAAATGGTCAACATTTACACTTCTATAGTGGTCAGTGATTTATTACTTTTTATTATCTAAAGATATTATTGTCAGGCATTTGGGATGAATGTACATCTTTAATCAAATTATTATTATCCTTACAAGAGCTAATCTATTTGAGCAGGTTTGGGGTTGGGGTCAGTTATTCTACAATGGTGTTTGTGCTGGAAACTTCTCAATATCTAAATATCTACTATTGTGTTTTTGTGCTACACCCAAATACATCAAAATGCTTTTAAATGCTTTTGAATCTCTGTTGGTTCTAATCTATCTCATTGATCTAGGCATTAATCTAGACTACACTCATATGGACTTTTTGCATAGTCAACATTCACTCATGTTTGAACACAAGTGAATTTGGCAGTATCTAATAAAACTGTACATAAACTGTAATTAACTTTATCTACTTTTGAAGTAAATGTTTGTGAAATGGTCCCTTTACCATTTGATATTAGCACTGGCTACAAATAATCTGATGCATTTACCTAATTCTATTTCTACTCTACTGTGACTCTAAAGTTTGGCTGCAGTTTGAGCAAAGGCATATTTCTAATTTGTGACTTCTGTCACTTTTAATATCTCTAAAATACTCTGATTCTAATATTATAGCTGATCTATCAAAAGGATAACATTGTAGGGTACTATTTTAACTCTTACGTGGAAATGTTTATGAACAACAAAGGAAGTCAAATTCTACTCTTTTACTACTATTTGACATCTACTAAAACGCTACAATACTCAAACTTTATCATTTTCAAAGTTTTTGTCTGTCAGATGTCTGAATACTTAACATGTATATTGCATTTGGTCACAGTTGTGGTTCTGGTTGTAGCAAAAGCATCGGCAATAGACGTTTTCATTGGCTGGTTCTTGTTCTGCAAATGTCTGTGTCCAATAGATCATCAGATGTCCAGAAGCTAGGGACAAACAAAAACAAAAGAAAGAATCATGAGTATCTGTCTCATTTAGCACTCATCAATGGCATGATTTCAATAATATAAACAT